CATGTGTGTTCATAGCTGTGACTATTTTTCCCTCCCATCCCTTCCCATTGGTTTGAATCACTGGAATTTACACTTATCAAAGATAATTCCCTGCTGCCCAGGATCCTGCAAGCCTGGAGCTCTGCTAGCATCCCTCCCACAGAATGTGGTTAGAAAACCCAGCTCTCCCAGCACTGCCTTCAGCTCAAGGTTCCCTTCAGCTACTGGAAGGAAAGAGAGCAAAAATCTCCGATGCAGCTGACATTTTAGGTGTGTATATAATTTACCAAATTGTTGGCCACTCAGCTCTTAGTCAGTGGTCACAAGAGGAATTAGCAGTCCTCCCCTGTTACCCCAAAACCCAAAGAAGGAAGGGTGTTACTTGGCTTTGGCACCGAGGCCTGTTGGCACGCAGCGTCAAACAGCAGCACAGTGGTACATTTTGGCCACAAAAGACTTTGGGGTGGTGGAAAGGGCCAAAATAGTTGTGGCGTAAAGTTGGCCAACATATTAAGCAGATCTGAGTTTAATTTAACGTAGAGATAACTCTTTTTTTGTTTTCCAGCTGGCTGCTACTTTCTCTGTCTCCACGGGTCCAGAGTTTTCAGCCAGGAGTCAGTTCATAAGGACATGCAAGTCCTTTCAGAGGGAGGCATGGAATGGTCTTTACACAGGCTTTCACATTTGGCTGGGCGAGATGGAGTAAGGATAAAAAGGCACATGGGGATCTGGGGAAAGCTGAAAATGAATCTGGAGGCTTGAATTCCTTCTATGAGTTTGCTTAAGCCACACTGCCTTAGCTCAGAATAGAGAGGCAGGCAGTCTGTCTCCTCGGGATAAGGAAGGATTTGGAACTCGGCTACTGTGAGGTCTTGGCCCCTACTGTGTTTTCTGGTTTGTTTTGTTAGCAGGAGCAAGTTATTCTAGTTTCTTGCTTCTGGGGTTTTCTTCAGCACTTATAAACTATGAGCCTCCACCCCACTGATGGCAGTGGGGTGGATGGAATGGGATAATGAAAGGGGTGGAGAGAGAAGTTGATTCAGCTGCTTAGGAGGAGGGAGGCAAAAACTTCAGACCTCTGAGCAGCTTCTGAATCCATCCAGGGTGGGGAGAGAAGGGGGCACCACAAGGACCAGAGTCACCTCCAGTGAGGAGAAAAGCTGGCCTTTCTGAGATACTATAATATGGCCGGCCCTGCTGATTAGGAAAACCAGCCTATTGTCTGAATAATGATTTTATTACCCATGAAACGGTTCCAAGTGGAAGAGAAGCTACAGTATTTAGAAAAGTATTTAGTGAAGTGTAAACAAAAGTGATTATGAGATATACCTAAAAATGGTTAAAATGGTAAGTGTTATTATGTACATTTACAATAAAAAAAATACTATTCTCTTAAAAAATGACTATGGGTACCTCAGGAAGCTACCAGCACTCCTTATGGGCTATATTTTACAGCCTTTTAAGTATTTGTTAAGTGGGAGGTACTATATACCGGGATTCCATGAATTCAAAGTGTGTGTAAGACAAGACACACATCCTAGGTGGGCAGTGGGCTGAAAAAGCCCTCCTAGTGGGGTGTCCTCAGTTCCCAGGCTGGGGGTAGAAAGGGGGCAATTTTATGATTTTTGCCAAGACTGTGTTACGCATGCCCAACGTAAAATGTCTCCTGAGTTCCTTAGCTCCCAGGTCTGCTCCCATGAGCCTTTAAAAATCATCCATAAGTGAAAGTTTCAACTTCGAATGCAATCTTTATCTTATGCATCCTGGTCCCCACTGCTAAGAATAGGCCTGGGCAACAGCAGGGGCCCCGTAAGTATGAGGTAAATGGATGTATCCGTTACAGGAAGGTGACGACAGGGATGAGAAGGAACTCCAGCAGGGCCATCCATTAATTCAAGCTGCTACTGCATAAGTGAGCATTTGCAAACTGAGGACTTCACTGACATTGATCTTTTGTTTTTGCTTCAGGACTGTTTGGTCCTGACTTTCCAGTAAACCTTTAAATAACTGTGGTCTGTCGTTTAACTGCAGCATGTTTAGTCAGTTTAGCATCATGGTTGAGGGCATCACGTCCAGAGCCAGACAGCCTGGCTTTGCGTCTTAGCTGCGTCCCTTACAACAGCGAGCAAGTTACTTAAACTTGCTATACCTCGGTTTCCTCATCTGTGAAATGGGGATAAAGTGCATACCTCACAAGGCTGTGAGGCTGAGTGACAAATAGGTAAAGTGCTTAGAAGAAGACCTGTCACATAATGAATGCTATGTGAGTGCTGTTGTTGAAAGTCCCCCGCTGTCATATTAAAAGGTGTGGCTGGCTTATGACACTGTAATGAGGCTTTATCACGTACCCTGTGACCACAGGTGCTTTTCTGCTCTGGGTTTTTTATTCTGACTGCAGTTAAAGCTGTCCATGAAAAGCAAGAACACCTTAACCGACATTAGATAACTCTGATATGTTAGTTACCAAGGGGATTCCCTGCCTGGACAATTAGACATTTATTTCATATCCTATGTCTACCACTACTACCAATCTTTTCTAGTTTAGGTGGCCTCAATTTCCCCATCCCTGACATAGATAATAATTTACCTTACTGATAAGGAAACTAATAAAATATATAGAGGGTGCCAAAAAAGTGTACACATTTTAATAAAAGAAAAAACTGTATTAAAATTGTAATACAATGAATGACGCTAGCATTCATTCGATTAATGCCATCTTTTGAGTGAATGTCATATTACACATTGCTACATAATTCAATTCAACTTCGAAAAGTAATACATAGATAACATCTCTTAAAATGTGTACATTTTTTTGGGCCAGCAGAGTGGCGCATTGGTTGGGAGCTGGCTTGGGACGCCAGAGGGCCCTGGTTCAGATCCCACATATGAGGGCCAGTGACACTGCCCTCTACAGCTGAGATGCTGAACAGTGGCTCAACCTGAGGCTGGGCTTCCATGAGTCTCTGGCAATGGTGTAGGCTGCAGCCCCTGCTGCAGTGGGTTGCCATAAGCTACCCTGTGTGGCCGGCGGCCAGCAGCCGCTGCGAGTGACAGTCCAGAAGCTGGCAACTGATCTGCCTCGCCCGGGAAGAGCACAATGATGGTGCCAACTTGGGCCAGTGAAGCAACGTCCTCCACAACTGGACTGAAGAGCAGGGGGACAGCAACTTGTCTGTTCCCCATCCCCCAATTCCCCAATTAAAAAAAAAATCTTTGAAAAAAAAAACCAAACACGTGTACTTTTTTTGGCACCCCTGGTATATTGAAATTCCGTTGAAGTATGTTAGGCAAGTTATTAAAATGTGTAATAAAGGGGCCAGCCAAGTGGCTCAGTTGGTTAAGAGCATGAGCTCTGAGCAACAGGGTCACCGGTTCGATTCCCACATGGGCCAGTGAACTGGGCCTGAGCTGAGCTGCCACTAGAGCTGCCAACAGGAGGCAGGATGGCTTAGCTGGTGAGAGCATGTGCTCCTAACAACAAGGTTGCCTGTTTGAGATGGTGGGCTATGTCCACCCGCAACTAAGACTGAACTCGGCACCTTGAGCTGAGCAGCTCGACTGGACTTGGAGCTGAGCTAGCTGCGCCCTCCACAACTAAGATTGAAGGACAACAAATTGGCTGCTCCCCTCCCCCAATTCCCGAATAAATTCTTTAAAAAGAAATGTGTAATAAAAATGCTTTTTCAGATGGCTCAGCAAACATCACCAATATTGGCAATTAAAAAATACATTGAAAATAGTAGTTGACTTACTAGTAACCGTACCCTTTAAAAGCCATATTATAAAGCTAAGTGATGATAGCCCAACTGCAGAAGCAAAAAAGATAATTTGTGGCCATCACAATATAGAGCTAAAACTCAAAAATCAGCTGGGTGGGCTGCTATTGCTCAGTAAGACTGCATTTAAGAATGAGGGCCTTTTCTATTACCTGGTCTTAGTAGCAAATTACTTTATATGAAAGTGTGCACAAATATATGCAAATATATATTATACGCACTCATGTATTTAAGGAAATCATCTCCTTTCCATACTTTGAAAATTCCTAGTAAGTCCGTTTTACTTGATTGAACACACTCTCACGTGATCTTAACTACCTGCTTCCTAGGGTGTCCTATAGTTTCTACTGCTGACATGACCTGGTGACAGGAGGAGCCAGTTTGGGATTCTTAAAAAAATGAATGCAAAACAAAGAGGGAAAAGTAGTGACCTGTGAGTGGGGAGGGCTGGGGCGTGTCGTCAGGAGGAAGGGAGGAAGGCATCTTGGCCCAGGAGTGGCATTAGAAACAGGCAGAAGAGAGGGAGCTGGCTGCCTCAGGCGTGTTATTTTTACTGTGGCTTTGTGCTGCTCTCCGCCCCCACCTCTTCCAGTCGGAGCTTGGAGTACAGTTGAATTTTCACCACAGAACTTGGCTAGGCCTCCTCAGGGACTTTCTCTTTCCCATCTTTCCATAAATTATAGGTTAGCACATGAAGCAAGACAGATGATTCCCATTATCTTTTGGGTTGGGTTAGGAATTTTTTTTTTTAAACTTCTTGCCCCCTCTTAAATGTGTAAACTAGTTCAGGGAGGTGGAACATTGGTTAACATAGTGGCCTGTCCACCAATGAAGTGGTCCCTTCCTCTTTAATAGGATGGTTTTAACCCGTTTCCTTGACCAGTGGGACTGCCACCATTTTCCTTGGCCTTAAACACTCTCAGGAAGTCACGGCTCCAGGAAAGTGGGGCCTTGTCCAAGGGGCTCACCCATAGCCCCAGCACCTGGACCAGACTCCCCATGATTGTATGTGAAGATTTTGCTCCTTACTTTAGTGGTAAAGTGACATTTTTAGGACACTGTTGTACTTTCATAAATGATCCATTCAGATCATTATAAAGTAATCAGACAGACCCAGAAGAGTTCATTTACCCCCGAACATAGAGGCCATTTGTAGGGCAGGCGTAGAACTCACTAAAAGCTAGAGCCACTGCTAGTCGTTAAGATTTATTGAGCACCAACCCCGGGCATTCTTTTTGATTACAGACCCAGACCAGATGCAAGCTCAGTCAAGGAAGGGGACCGGAGGTTTTACTGCATTGCATCCGACCTTATTCTGCTCTTTTTGGTCTCTCAAGTACTCAAGCTAAGCCTTCTTAAAGAAATAGGTCATAGGGAAAAGGTGCAAAGAAAAATGAAAAGAGGTGACCTAATTCCAGTTCCAGGATCTGGAACATTCTATTGCTTATCGACATAATAAGAGTACAGTAAAGGAGATTTTTTTTTTAAATGTCCTTGACAGTGTGGGAGGAAGAAGAGAAGTAGGAAAGGATAGGTAACATTTTAAAGAAAGACTAGTTAATGTTTGATGCAGAATTCAATAGAAAAGTTGAGAGACCTGCCTGAAAGAGCAAAGCAAATGAGGACGATAACTTGGCCTAATCAGAAGAAGCCTGGCAATGAAGAGGCCTATAGAGAAAAGGGAGGCAAGTTACAAGTGGGGGATCTTTGTGGCAAAAAGGGAACGCTGAAATGCTCAACCTGGGACGGTGGAGGAAGAAACAACCAAAGTTGAGTGGTGAGGAAGGGAAGGCAATCAAGATATTACCAAGAAGCATGTCACAGAGATGGAAGAAGCTGTCGTACAGTGAACGGACAGGGACGGAAGAAAACAGATATTCTTAAAATCAAGGTCCTTCTGAATGAGGTCACCACCAAGGCAGACCCAGTACAGGGTCCCGAAGTTGCTTTAAGTTTCCAATATGACCTTATCTTGTAGTTTAATAAACTAAGTATGTACTTGTCCACTAGCTCTTGCCCTAACCTTGACCACGATCTACTAAATTAATACCCTCTCTTTCTACTTGCCTGTCCTGGCAGCGCTGTTGTTCTCTCTGCACTAAATATAGTTCCAGGGACAAAAAGGATGAAACACATGAAAGGCGACAGCTTAGGATATGTTAATATATGTCTTTCTTGTTCAGGACCAACTAATCCATCTCAGGAGCCCCCTAGAACTACTGCTTTTTGATGTTAGCTTATTTATTTGATGATTTAGTGATGAGTAAGTCCTTCATCACTGTATTTCATAATACGAAGTAAATCATAGCATGGGTAGCCATTCTGAGGGTTAAATCTGACGTTAATGCTATTGTTTATTCTTAACAGAGGGAACATTGGTTTCATAATTAAAAACCTGAATGTATTTAGATGGCCTTGTTTATCTAAAGAGTGACTAGCAGCTAAGATCCGGAAAGCGGTTCTCTATGGTGTGACCTTTTTCTATCAAACACATGGTGTGCTATGCCATAAAAGCAAACATGTATCATTGAGACTTGTTCTTGACCAAGAAAATGGGACATGGAAGGAAACTTAAACCAATGAACAATAAACTGCCTTAGATGCACATGTATTAAGTTATTCATTTTAACTCAAATTAGCAAAGGAATTTTCATGATTATCCCCTAGCTGTATGTTCTTTCCAGAAATGTGTTACTGTATTGCTATATGCCTGCTATGGTCTAACATAAGACTAGATTTTCTGGTGTTCCTCAAAGTGTCAGATAATAAGAATAGCTATCGTTTTCAAGCTCTTAATGCATCGCTTACAGTTCTAAAAGCTTTATATCTATTCATTTGATCCTCACAACCAACCGGTAAAGTGGGTATCGTTACCCCCATTTCATAGATGAAACCTCAGGCAGAGAAGGTAAATAACTTGCTAACGGTCACCAGCTGGTACCTGGGAAAGTCAGAATTTGAACCCAGGAAGGCTGCTTTAGGGATGCTCTTAATTACTACACAAGGACACCTCTGAATCCATGACTGTCTACCAAGATGATATTATTAGTTTGTACAAGAGATGCTTTTAGGCAGTACATGGTCATGGCATTAAATAACACTTAGTTACATAAAATGGGAAAGTTACTCCCTTCAGTTCTCTTTGGTCCTTCAGGTTAAAAGAAGTTTCATTCTGGTGCTGGTCTGACATGAACGCCTCATACCTGCTAATCTTCCTTTTCAGTGAAGAGTTAGCTGCAGGCTTAGGGCCTTCCAGCAGTTATGTTATCTTGATTTTTATGGCAAGAGATACTGGCTTTCCATTTGTGGGATTCACAGAATCCTTCCATTGTTAAATAAACTTATTTAAGTAAACAAATGACTTAATTTAAATTAAGTAAATAACACAGGCGGAATGCAGCTATGACGTTTGTGAAGGTGTTTTCACATGATGGAAGTCTGGGAAACGCTGTCCTGATTCTCTTTTGCAATTCACTTGAAAGCAATGGTTTTGGCAAACAATAAGGTCCTTTGTTCTCATATCACAAACATTCCCGTCTTCCCTCCATCGGTTGAGGGCTCATCTGGGATGGAGTCTTCACCAGGTCACACAGAAGGAAGGAAAATAATAATAATGTGGTGAATTTTCAACAACACCACATGTATTAGTGTAAAATATTTTTTTTCCTGAAAGTGTACTCTTTTCCACTCTTTTGGCGTTAAAATCTTCCTTTCTTGTGGAATGATGGTGACAGATGATAGGTTTTGTTTTCAGTGGCCTTTCTTGGCAAAGTTAAAAACTGTGAACTTTTTAGAAGTTGTCCTGATCCAGAAAACATGAAATGTGGGTGCCATTGCTTAGCTGCTCTCTGTTCATGGTGTGATGCCTCTCAGTTGCCTAGGAGCCCTGAGTACTTCAGGAAGGGTGATATGGAATCACGCCAGTCTTTCTTTCTAAAGTGCATTCAAGCATTTTCTTCAGGGAAATTATTAAAGAGCTCCTGCTTGTGAAATTCTGCTATGTCTGTTCTCTAGGTTTATAGTTTTTCTGTCAGGACTGCAATGCTAATTATGAATAAAACCATTTTTAAAAGACGAGGTATTGCTGAAATCACTAGTTACTGTGACAACCCGTCCATTCGAATATATACTTACACTTGCTAAGATATGCTTATTTCTTTTTCACTTCCAAAATGGAAAGTTCAGAGCACAATTTAGAAATACCTAGTCTTTTTTTTTTTTTTTTTGGTTTTTCTTTTATGTTGCTGCTCTTGTTACTGGAACACTTAGGAGAACAAAGAAGCTAAAAACCTTGGACATATTTAAGAAAAATTTTAAAGGTCATTATTTTTCTGTTTGTCATTGCTTTGATGAACACGTTATTTTACATGAGATTTCAGAGTTGGTCTAGAAAGAGGCCATTTGGAGATGCAGAAAGATTTATAAAAAGGAGAGCAGGAGGCCCACACTGTATGATGTCAAGGAAACTAGAGTTGGAAGGATTAATTGTAGGGCCAAAGCACAAACAAGAAGCAAAGTTTAGACTCCAGCAAGATTTAAGGTGGTTTGTCAGGATATGTCTGAGTTCGCTACAGAAGGTCTGGCAAGTTCAAGGCCAGCAAACCCAAACCAACAGGATCACTGCCATAGTCACTGCTCCAAGGAAGAGAGTAGAAACTAATTAGAGAGCTCTCAGACCGAGACATTCCCAAGCAGCCTGGGTCACTCTGTACACGCAGTGATATTACTGGCTTCCACGGAGCTTTTATTTTCCTAACTGAGACATCTGAGTAGCCTTGTCCCTTACACGGCTTTCCTTGTGCCTTAAAGGACCTTTGTAGGTTCTCATCCTCATCTACCCAATGGTCTCAGTTTCAATAATGGCAATGGCTTCTTTCTAGTCTGACTCTAAGCCCCATGTCCACATGGAGTTTTTCATGATTCAGTACAAGGGGACCTGGGATAGGTCTATCAGATTAATGTCTTCTTTGTTTTTTTTGGAGAGTAGCCATGACCCAGAGCAGGAGGCAGAGCCAGACTGAATGAAATATGTGGATACCAGGCAGGCTAATTATTTGGCATCCTACTCATTGATACTCTTCAAATGTATTTTCATTATGTACTCAAATAGTGTGCAACATTGTATTTAGTAGGAAGGAGAAAGGAAACTGATTTTCTGTTAATAAAAAATACATATATGCCTCTTGCTTTAATTTGAAAATGAGGAATTTATTACATGCTTTGGTAGTAACACTACCTTTTTTTAGCATATTTGCAATGGGATTCCTAATAAATTTTTCCATAACTCTGAACGGGATAGTGTTAGTCACTCAAACTTTCCAAGAGTACAAGCAACATACAAGGATATAGTTACAAAGTCTTGTTCAAAGGTATAGTTAAACTTTTTTTTCCCCCTGACTTTCATGTCAGCAAAATGTTTCCAACTTTTCTATATACCAGATCTTGTCATCTGAAACTAGAGATGGTTTTACTTCTCTCCGTTTCCAATCTGGAGGGCTTTTTTCTTTTCTTTTCTTTTTTCTTTTTTCCTAATTGCCCTGGCTAGAACCTCCAGTACAATGTTGACTAGATGTGGTGAGAATAGACATCTAGTCTGTTCCTGATCTTGCGGGGGGGGGGGACGGGACATTTAATGTTTCACCGTTAAGGATGATGTTATTTGAGGTTTTCATAGATAGCCTATATCAGGTTGAAGAAGTTACCTTCTTTTCCTAGCTTGAGTGTTTTTATCACAAAGGTGTTGGATTTTCTCAGATACTTTTTTTGCATCTATTGAGATGATCATGTGGTTTCTGTCCCTTATTCTATTAAGGTGGTCTATTACATTGTTTGATTTTCAGATCTTAAACCAACCTTGCATTCCTGGGATAAATCCCAATTGGTCATAGTGCATAATTCTTTTTATATGTTGCTGGATTCAGTTTGCCAGTATTTTGTTGAGGATATTTGCATCTTTTTCCAGCTTTTTTATAGTTATTGTCTCTAGGTTCTTTGTTTGCCATTTTCACCGAATCAGTAACTTTAACCTTTACATATTAAGATTAATCTCTTGCACTCATGTTGGTTGATTGCTAACTCAGATGACTGTCAGCTGCTTCATTCCAGGACTATTTCCTTGGCCTATAGTTGTTCTGTACACCCTACAAATGCTTACCACCAAAATGCTCAGTACTCAATTTATAAAGAAGTTTTGTTTTGTTTTGTTTTTTCATTGCTCTCAACTTATCCTCAAGTGGGACTAGTTCACATTTACCAATAATTTCAGGAGTGGCTATGGAAACCTGAGCTCACTGGCATCATATTTCCAATTTATTTGGTGATAATGTAGCACAGTTTATTAATTCAAGCCCTGGGACTGGCTGAGCCACCTTTAATTTAGCTAAGAAGAAGCTCATCATTGGACTCTGATATTTGGGTTCCTAATCCCTGATAGACTAGATCTAAGGCTACAGAAGAGAGCTCTCTGGGATTTTTTCCATTTTGTATGTGCTGGCCATAGTTTTGGAAAGCACAGGCATAAAACAGTACTTGCATCTTCTCTTCTCCTTTTTGTCACTTTTTTTGGGAGAAAGGAGACAGAACACCTAGCTGAACACATGGTACCAAAGCCTTGCCAAGTGATGGTGAAGTCACACGTGTGAAGCCTCCGAGGTTTAGAGTGCATGGTTCAATATAATTGCGCTTGTTGAGCAGGGATGGCAGGTACCAAGACATGGACTTGGTCTGCCTTTTAGTTTGAACTAACTACATCATCAGTGGAAAATGATTTTTGTTATTTGATTAGAGCTGTAGGATTAGTCAACTCTCATTGTGGTAACTCAGACCTTTTATAACTGTTTTCAGAGAGAGAGGAAGAAAAGAAAACGAGAGAGAACTACTCTGACCATGGTCTACAGCCAGGCTTCTGTCACTAAGCAATAAAGAAAAAGCTCAAGTAGCCCTTGCATAAGTGGGAATTTGTGGTTTCTAAAGCTGCCCATTCCCCAAACGACTAAAATATGTTATTGGCATTTGGCACTGTTTCCTATGTTTTGCTCTCCTTAAATTTCTCTTTAAAAGGGCTTGAGTTTAAAGGCGGAACCACTGAAAAATGCAATTTAGTCATAGAACTGTGAAAGGCCAGCCCAGAGTTAACCCCAGGATGCCCTGTTTTGTTTTGTTAAACCAGAACCTTGACCCAGGCTTATTCCCAGGGGATGCCAGAAAGCCTAAGGGTCGGGGGAGGGAAGGAAAAGAGGGAGGCAGAGGAAAGAAAACGAGTAGGCCGGACAAGCCCTGGGATGGTGCCACCATGCCCCAACGGCTTCCCTCCCTCACCAGGCTGAGTGACTCCGTGATTCACACTGTAGAGAGCAGGAGAAAGGGAAGGGAAATTGAAGAACCACCCACAGCCAAGGAGAAGAGTGAGAGGGCTCGGTGGTGGTACAGTCTCCCATACCACAAGCTGTCACGGGACAGAACATAAAATTTCCCAACAGCCTCTTGGCCCAATTCACTCTTTTTAAAAGTTGTGGGTTTTTTTCCAGGTTATAAGTGTATACTAATTGCAGAGAATTTGGGAAGTATAGACAATTACTAAAGAGAAAAGAATCACCAGGCACCATGGCAGAGAGGTTTAGCTCCCAGCCCTGGGTAGACCTGAGTCTGAGCCCCAGCTCC